TTTAGGCATATATAAAAGTAGAAAGACTAATTCAAGGAACCCCCCATATATCCATCGCCCAATTTATTCCACATTTGCTTTGATAAACCCTTTTCCTTTACAAATTAAACTTTGCTTAAGTATTTGAAAGCAAATCCCAGATCTCACGCTTTCATCCAAACATGGATCCATGGGCATTTTTCTTACATAAGCTTAATACCAGGATCACACCCAGCAAAATGAGTAAAGCCACATCCACAGGCACACTTCCCCATGCAGTTACTCTGCTTTATTGCCAGAGGGTGTGTGCACTTGCCCTAGAGAGGGAGAACCCCTCCCAAAGGGGCGTGGTCACACCACAAACTCTTCTCCTTTTTTCCATCCTGTTGGGATTTGGAACATGTATGCACACACGTTCAGTGCTTTTTTCAATCCACCAGGGCCAGGACTTCAACTGTTGGGTCTGGATCCCATTTGTCCATGTGGGATCCAATTCTCTTAACCACTGGGCCAGCACTCTCCAATGACCTCAAAAAGGTCTTTTCTGGGACCAGCAGTTAGTGTAATGGCTATGTCGCTGGACTCCCATGTAGTCAACCGCGGTTCGAGTCCAGGACCCGGTGGCTTAAACTCATGCCAGGCATATGTGCGTGAATGCCCAAGATCCTGAGAGGAGAATGGAGGAGAAAGGATGGTGGCGTGGCCATCCCCCCTGGGGGGGTGATTTCTCGCTTTCTATCTCTCTGTCTCTCTCTTTCTGGCGAGCACACACACCTTATAGCAAAAACCTCTCTTCTCCCCACAAAAAAGGTCTTTTCTCAGTTTGCTTATTCAAATCAGAATCCATCAAGATCCACATACGGCACATAGTTATAGGGACTCTCATCTCTTTAAATCTAGAGTGGACCCCTTTCCTTAATTAACAATTTCATGCCACTCACTTGTCCTGTAGGATAAGCCACATTCTAGATATATCAGTGTATCAGTTAGGATTGGTTATGTTATACTGTGGTAACAAGCAACTCCAAAATGCCAGTAAAGTAAGAGTTTTATCTCTCATTCCTGTAAGTCCATGCCAAATGAGGAGGAGCTCTGCTACCTGCTAGTCATCAGTCTCACTCCCAGACCCAGACGATGAAGTAGTTACCACGCAGAGAACATCACTGGTCACTGAGGCAAAGGGAGAAAAGAGCCCTGAAAGGGCTCAGGAAGGCAAGTAAATGCTCAGCCTAGAAGTTAACTACTCATTACCAGAAATGGTCACATGGCACTGCCCAAGCAACGAAGGCCAGGAAATACATCTTGCTATGTGCAGGATAAACAGACACGAGCATTTCAGTGAGCTCCATTAACAGCTACTTGTCTATTTGCTTCCCTGTGGTGTCATTTTATGAGTTTCTCTCTCCCTTAAATTTCCTGAAAAACAGAATTTAACTCTAGAGCTTCATTAGCTTCAAGTTTGGTAACTTTGGTTAGATTGACTCATACATTGGTCTGTGTGCCCCGCATGGTATCACGTCAGGAGGCAAGCACAACTAGTTCACAGTATTTTGTAGCAGTAATCATCTCATTTGTTTATACCTCCTTAGGTAGACCCCTTTCACTCTGACACGGCTCAGTCACATGACACGATCTGCCAAACAGGATAATAGCAAATCGGATGCAGAGATCCACTGAGGCTTTCTGGCTCTCGCTATATTTTAGAAGGCTGAGAGCACCATCTTAAGAAGTCTGGGTTATCTTACTAGTGGATGAAAAAACCACTTGGAGCAGAGACAAACAGTGCTAGCTGAGGCCACCCAGACCAGCCAATCCGCAAACCATAAAACATGTGACGTCACCCTAGACTGACTAGACAGTCTGAGTTGCCAAATGAGCACAGAGATCAGCCAAATAGGCACAACCAGAAAAACTGCCAGCACAGCCACAGACCAGTGAGCAAATGAAATCACTGCATTATGCCAGTACATCCTGGGTGGTCTGTAACAGAGCAAAAGCTAACTGATACGCCGATTAGTCCACAGTAGATTAGTAGATCAGTAGACTGAGATGGTAACACCTTGATCTCTGCATTATAAAGTTCCTCGTCAACTTTTCGTTTAAACATTTTTAGTTTATTTCTTTTCCTCCATGAGAGAGGGAGGGAAAGAAAAAGATAGGACTCATCCCCAACGAGGTCTTTATGTGGCGATCCAACCTTCAGCCTCAGCCAGCCAGGATCATGAGTATGTGCCTGTGTATCGACAGAAACAGGGAAAACTCAGGACACAAACCCAGGGCCTTTCCAGGTGGCCTCAGCATCAGAGCGTTGTATTATCACTTGCCATTGCAGCTGGCTGCCCGTCAATCTTTCAATTAGAGTTTCACTGACTGGTGACTGTGGCCTATAACAATTTTCCATTTTTAATTTCCCTTGAATTAATGATTTTTTAAATTCCTTCATATTTCCAAATAAGCAGTAATTCTGCAATGAACTTTCTATCATCTGATATTTAGTAACCCTCAAATACAGTTTATACATGACACCTTTTTTTTTTTAATAGACCACAGATTAGTTTATTTTTAACAACCATCATGCCATGAATTCATAGGGAATAGGTTCCAGTAGCTCAGGCTCCTTTCCATTGGTTCTCACGAAGTGTGCTTCTCTGGGTGGAGCAGGCTGGTGCTTTAGTTGAACCCAGGTACCTTTCTCTTTGGCTTCTTTCTTTTTCTGGTCATTTTCCTTCACATGTTTTAGGAAGCTAATATGCTTAATATGCACATTGATTCTTTTTGCAAGAATCTTGCCCTTAACTTGTTTGTTCACAACAATGCCAACAGCATGCTGGGTAACATTGCAGACTCTTTCAGTTTTGCCATGGTAACATTTGTGGGGCATTCCTTTTTGAACAGTACGCATTCCCTTAATGTCTACAATATCACCTTTCTTGTAGATTCGCATATATGTCGCCAAAGGAACAACTCCATGTTTTCTAAAAGGCCTAGAGAACATATATCGGG